GAATGCAGAGTCAGTGAATGTGTGTTTTCACCAAATTGCTTCAGTTGAAAAAAAACTTTCAAATTTGGGGGGAATTTTAAAACATTTTGATTTGAAACAACTTTTCATTTTGAAATTTCCATTAATTTTTACAATTTAACAATTAAAATGATAAATGCTCAAAAATAAAAAAATTTCATCCGGCTCCCATTGGTTTTATTTCCAAATTTTCATTTTTGGTTCAACCTGAAACAATTTGTCAGAGTGAACTGAACCAATCGATTTGCCCGGCTCTATTCTGGAGCCTGCTCTGGCATACCGTGGAAAAGGAGGAAGGATCCCCACTGCAATGGCAGAGAAACGCATGGCCTAGTAGCACATGGATCACAGGCGCTGGCTGGGGCATGATCAGTCAGTATCTCTCTCTCTCCCCTGTGGAACTGTCAAGGCAGCTGATAGGCCCTGTGCTTTCTGCGGCTGAAGGGGAGTTTGGGACAAGAAAGCTAACCACTCCTATGTTGCTAGGCAGAGTGTGGTTCTCAGTGTCTCACCAGGGCTCAGGCAGTAAGTGAAACCAGGGCCGTGGCTTTCAAGGCATGTTTGTGAGACCAGCAGAACCTGCCGTCCCCTGTGGCATGAGAGCTCCTCTAGAGATGGGTGCATGATTTACAAAGACATGTACGTTATGGTTCTGAGCAAAACCTCACGCTGACCAGAGAGCTGCTGGAACATTTGCTCCTGCACTGGGCTACTCCCACCGCCAATAGCTTATTTCACGTGAAACATGACAGTCCAACAACCCCCTTTCAGGCCATGCTGCAGAGGGAGGCCTCTGGTTCCCTATACAAAAATGAGAGCAGCTTGCCCAGCTGTGAAGCTAAAAGCTCTACAGCGTCCAGCAAACTTCAGGCTCCATCCAGGTCAGAGCAAATCCACCCAGGACCAAGAGGTGGAACTCCTGAGTTGTATTCCCAGCTCTGCCACTGACCAGCTGTGAGAGTTTAAGCAAGTCACTTCCTTCTTTGTGCCTTAGTTTCCCCAACCATAACATGGGAATGCTATCAGCCTTCCTGGGGTATGAGGCTTGGCTGTACGGAAAGTACTTTGCATGGGAGGGCACCATGTTCTTAGCCCCGTCCCCAGAGCAGGGAGCAAAAGAAACAGGAATGCGCTGCTGCCTTCCAACCGAGCCCAGCGGGCCTGACTGACTCATTCTCCACATCACATTTGCAATGTCTAAAACTTTGCATTATGCTTCCAAACAGAGCCCTGCTTTAATCCCAGCAAGGAACAACATTCAACACTACAGAGAAATGGCCCTTTTTATTTCCAAGCTCCAGCTGTAAACAAGCTGCCTTGGCTGGCTCTCTGCGTCCCGCGTCGGGGACATGTGGTACCATGGAAGGGAAGAGCCCCGGACGCTGGAACTTCAGCTTTAGGAGCTGCAGTCTGCCCAAAGGCCACTTCAGGTCAAGTCCCGAAAAGTCACCCCCCCATCGTGGTGCTGCGTGCCCCCCTTAGCTGGATGTAGTGAGGGGGTTCCACTCACCCTTCCATAACCGTGCAGGGGAAATGGGTCTGCGGGTGGCAGCGGCTGGGTAGGACGTGCCCTGCGGGGAAGCCATGCATCATCCTCGGGATGGCTGCATGGGGACAGCCAATGGATGTAACGGGATGGAGCGTGTCCCATGCCCAGGGAGAGGTCTCTGAATCCAAGCTTCAATGGGACCTTGTGGGAGAAGAGCGAGAGGGCAATATTTAATCATCAGCTCACCTGGCACCATGACACCCTCTCCATCCATGGTAACGGTGTAGCCCAACAGGCTTTCGCAAGGGCTCACCTGGAATTATTATAGGGTTTGCTACTGACACCCATCACCCTAGTAAGTCAGTGAAAGAGGCCACCAATCAGGTCCCAGTAAATGAACCCAGGACTGGGAGCAGGACTCCTGGGTTCTATTCTAAGCTTTGCCACCAATTTGCTTTGTGGACTTAGGCCAGCCAGTCCCAGTTTCCCCATCAGCGAAGGGGGGACCAGATAAGCCTTAGAGTGGGGCTTAGCCAGAACTGCTTACCTGTGTCAGTAGCTGTGAATTGGAACAACAGATGATGAGCTGAGCCGCTGGAAGATTCTACTTCTCAAGTTGCTCTCCTCGATCTTCCACCACTGGAAGCTCTCACCGTGCAGCTCTGGTGGCGTCTCCTGGGTGCTCTGGCCACCCTGCGTAACCGTCAGCAACACGTTGAAGCAAACGCCGTCAGATTTCCCTGCATTCTTGCCCAGGTGCTGCAGCCCCAGGACCCCGTGGGCCCGGACAGTCACTTGGGGTAGCAGGCAGCATTCCTTCAGCAGCCTGCACGCTGCCGCCTGGATGCTGTTTTGGATTTTGCAGGGGGAGGTGGTGCGGGCAGACACCGGCAGGTGCGGGGGCCCTACAGCACTCAGCAGCACCCACAAGTCACCGGCACCATTGGTGAACGTAGCCAGGAGCCTCTGGCAGATCAAGGCACAGGGCATCTCCTCCGGCAAGGTCATTGGGTGGGACGGGCTGTCTCGATATCGCACAGCAAGGTCCATAAGGGGCAGGATGTCCCGGGCTCGCAGAGGAAGGGCAGGAGATTCTCTGTCCCACCACCTGGCTTGGAGGGATTCAGCATCTGCATCCTGGGGCGCCTTCAAGGTCCCGCCTAGGCAGAAAAAAAGAGTGTGTCTGTGTTGCAATGGGCTGAGCCCCTTGCACTCAGAGCGGCCTGGGCAGCAGAGCTTGGGGCACGGAAGGGGTTGGCGGGGATGTTACATTTCTGCAGATCACTGGGTGCTAGAGGAGAGGGAGGGAGGAATCAAGCAGTTAAGGAGGCAGCTGGGGCTCTTTTCCAGGGGAGGAATGAGGATTTGGGGGTATAAAAGATCCTTGGTTTTCCCTTGATCATCCCTACAATAGGCAGTAGCACCATGGCCAGAGCTGGGAAACATGGACACCTCCCCTTCTACAGCTAACACGGCTGGGAGTGCTTGTGAAAGGATGGAGTGGATGCACAGGCTAGTGGCAAGGACCCTGTCGTGCACGCTACCACCACAGCTCTGCCAGTGCAGCCACATGAGCTGCAGCTCCCCAAACACAGCACCCTTCTGACCTGCAGCCCCCCCGCTCAGTTCTAACCCCTCCTGCACCAAAAGCAGTTTGGGCTCAGTGAGAAGTTATGGTGCAAGCCCAGCACAAGATGCCGGGGTGCAGTAGGAAGGGCAGGTCCTCTGGGCACCTTCCCTTTTCTTTCTGCTCAGAACTGGAGCCAGCAAGCTGGACAAGCCCCACACAGACACTCCTCCTTTGGCTAGCTCCAGGGGGAAACCCAGGAGGCTTCTTTGTCTCTTGCCCCATGCCCAGGGCTGAGCTTGCTGCCTGCAGTGTCCGCTGCAATCCCCACACATTTTAGTCCCCAAGTCCCACTGGACGGGAAGTAGGAGTAAGGGGGAAGCACCAGTTGGCCGAGCAAGGAAGACAAAGCGAATCCAGATGGGGCCTCTCTCTTCCACTGCCAGCAGAGTGAGGGGCTCGCACTCCAGCCCTGTCTCCTCCTTCACCTCCCTCTTCATGGCCTCCAGGATGGTCTCGTTGGGCTCCATCCTCCCGGCAGGCAGGTACCACGTCCCATAGCACTCGTGCTTGGCCTCCTGCATCATCAGCACCTCGTTCTGGGAGAGAGGGGGAAAAAATCCCAGGTCACACAACATGGAGCCATCCCAATGGGCAGGGACCAGCCCCATTTGGATCACCCCGCTGCATGGGGGCCACAAAATCACAGCTACAACAAAATGTAGGGCTTCCACAAGACTCTTCCCTACAGGCCAATTCTCCAGTTCAGTTTTCAGTGTCCCAAGAGATGTGGGTCCCACCAGTTTCCATGGGAACCTAAGAGGTGTCCGCCCTAAAGTGAGATCAGTTAGGAACCACCGAATTCATCCACACCATTCACTACTGTGTATTTAAAATGGCCCAGGCAATATGACTGCTACCCCTTCCTTCGGAATAGTACTCCACAGCCAGAGAGATCCCACCATCCAGCTTTTTCTGCTCTTCAGCCTACCCTTTTCTGTGCTCAAAAGGACATTGGCCAACCCAGCCCTTAGGCTTTGAAAAAAGAAGATAAACCCAACCAAAACATTCCTTTGTTTTTTTTAAAATGACAACGAAAACAGTTTTTAAACACACAGATACTTTCCCCTACAGAACATCTGCCACCAAACCCTTTGGACTAACTCATGACAACTAGAATGGCTAGAAACGGAGTCCATTGTTTGCATAGCACCAATGGTATGCACTTCAGGGCCTTAGAAGCAGGGAAGAAGACATTAGGTTTTGCCAGTAGAGCTATGGCAGAAAATCCCCCTAGTGGAGATGCAGATTATACCGGCAAAAGTGTTTTTGCTGGTATAGTTTATGCTTTTGCTGTCAGCAAAAGAAGCTCTACTGGCAAAAGTACTTTTTTTGCCAGTATAACTGCATTTACACTCGGGCTTTTGCCAGCAGAGAAATGCTGCAAAAAAACAAGGTGAATAAAAATTCATTAGAAAAATAAAATAAAAATCATAAGTTTTATTTAAATGAGATTTTAATTTAAACATTAAATTTTAAAATAGGTTTATAATTAAAAAGAAAAATTTGAAATGATGATAGCCTCTGATAAAGGCCTAATCTTACAATGCTCTACTAAAATCATTTACATTAAATTACAAACTATATTAGGTATTACATGTTTGCTGCCATGGTTTAAAATAAAGTCAAACCACTGAAACAGTGGAAGTCACTGGCTAAGCACCTGCAACCAGAGTTTGCTGAAGTGCTAACCCAGCTTTTGACAGCCTTTTGCAGTGTAGCCTTATTTTATTTAAAGTAAATCGTTGACCACAGCAGGTACAGAGTGAATATTTACTTCATTTCAATTAGTTCAGTCAAAGCTAAGAAACCAGCCAGGAGTGGTAGAAGTATGAAAACTTGTCTTCCCCCTTCTAATCTACGAATAAAAGCTAGGCGTAAAGATGAGAGCTACAAGTTTTGAAGGACATGGGACCAGAAAAAAATTACTTCAGTTTACTAACAGATATTTCCTTTGTTTCATAAACCAGTTGGTTTGAAATACAAAACATGTTTTGATAAACTTTTTTTCCTGTTCCCGTTCCCAACTCATTTAAGGAAGTTTTATTTAACTAACAAAAAACAATTATAAAATGCCTTTTTGTGCATTTTTACTTGAATTCCAATTTCCATCCAAATAGAGCTTGACACAAATCACAAGTAACAAAATTAAATCATCTAGGACAGTGTTTCTCAACCTTTTTGATGCCAGGGACCGGCTTGCTGCCTCTCTAAACTGTGTCAGGGAGATCTCAGGGACCGGCGCCGGTTCATGGACCAGTTGTTGAGAAATACTTTCTAGTACAGTAGAACGTCAGAGTTATGAACTGACTGGTCAACTACACACCTCATTTGGAACTTGAAGTACGCAATCAGCAGCAGAAGGGTTAAAAAAAGGCCAATACAGTACAGTACGGTGTTAAACGTAAATTACTAAAAAAATAAAGAGAAATTTTTAAAAAGGATTTGACAAAGTAAATGAAAAAAGCACAGAAACAGTTTCCTTAAATTAAGATGGTTAAAAGCAGCTTTTTTTTCTCTTCAGCATAGTAAAGTTTCAAAGCTGTATTAAGTCAATGTTCAGTTGTAAACCTTTGAAAGAGCAAACATAACGGTTTGTTCAGAGTTACAAACATTTCCATTCCTGAGGTGTTTGTAACTCGGAGGTTCTACCGTATAAGAAACACCACATCATTCACCATTTTCTAAATACAAAAAATGTAAAAACTAATAATTTAAATAAATGTATGTTAATCTATAAAACTGTTTAAATATGTTATTCCCTGGTTAGCAAGAACAACCAAGTTTACTTAAATATTGCATTTAGTTGCAAATCAGCGTTTTCATCATTACCAACCAATGAGAATCATCCTTTTGTTAGGAAAGTAACTAAAACATACATATGCAAAACCAGATTAAAATCTATCCTTTAAATCGAGGTTTCCTGCTGACTGATTTAAATCAATCCACCCTGGCAAAAAAAAAAATATTACACCTCTAGCTGATGTTGCTATGCCAGCAAAAGTTTCTAGTGTAGACCTACTTTGGTTGTTAAAGGAGGTTTGTTTTAATAAGCTAACTGTGTTATTAGTAGCACATGTAAGGAAGCTGGGTCTCATTCCACGGTCTGCAACTGACCCACTGTGACGTTCGGCAAGTCACCTCTTGTCTCCGCGTGACTCAGTTTCCCCCAAAGGTAACATGGAGAAAACAGCAAAGAGTCCTGTGGCACCTTATAGACTAACAGACGTATTGGAGCATGAGCTTGCATCCGACGAAGTGGGTATTCACCCACAAAAGCTCATGTTCCAATACGTCTGTTAGTCTATAAGGTGCCACAGGACTCTTCGCTGCTTTTACAGATCCAGACTAGCACGGCTACCCCTCTGATACATGGAGAAAATACGTTCCCCCACTTTTGTAAAAGTGCTTTGAAACAAAGCTGTTAAGAGGGTCATACAAGTGCTAATTAATTTTAAAGCACAGGTCAAGATTTTAAAGAGTGACCAGTCATTCTGGGGACCCAAACTAAGATGGCTTGAAGGAGCCTGATGTTCAGAGCGTGAGTGCTCAGCACTTTCTGGATTGTGGATGCTCACCCTGCAGTGACTGGATGCCACGGTGATGGGCACCATAGGAAACCCCCCAGCAGTCACTCTGATTCCCCCAGCCAGTGCTACAGGGGACCCCTCACCTGGTCATTGAGCAGGACAGCCAAGACGATGTAGCAGGCGGTCTTCCGCACTCTGACAGGGTGCGCAGGCACAGGGGCAAAGTCGTACCTCTCCTGCACCTCCCAACCTCTCCCGCTCAGCACGGCATCCAGCTCCTCCGCCAGAGCGCCACAGGCCATGGCTGCAACACACCAAACCCCACAACGGGTCAGCGGCACAAGGCGCAGCAACAGGAGGGCACCAGAGGGTTGTGGTGGCAGGGGAGCATGGTGACCTGAGAGCCCCAGAAAGGGGGGCTGGGGGACCAGAGGGGTACAGATAGCAGGATGCAGGAGTGGGGGGCAGTGACATGGGGGCTCCAGAAAGGCAGGTCTCTTCCCACACCCAAATATTCAAGTGCTCCTCCCCAGTCCCAGAGAAGGTGGGTTATTGGGGGAGGGCAGCAGTGAAGTTAAAATGCAAACTCTCCAGCACAATGGAGATAGCTGGGGTCGGTGGTGATAGTGGAAGGTTTGATCCCAAAATATCCCCAACTTTCTGCACTGACACTTCTCTTTGGGGTGAGCAAGAAAAAGGGGGAGCCCCTGAGAGCAGGGGAGGGGGATCAGAGTGTGGCATGGGGGAGGAGGACACCCTGAGAACTGGGAAGTTGGGACCTGGGGGGCAGAGAGAGGGGCTCCCTGGGAGCTGGGTGGGCATTGAGAGGGGGGCAGAGGGAGAAGCCCCCTAGGAGCTGAGGGGGTATGAGGGGGAGGCTAGGACCTGGGGGCAGGGGGGACTAAAGCCTGGAGGCAGAGGGAGGGGCCCCTCGGGAACTGGGTGGACATGGAGGGGGGGCCCCCTGGGAACTGGGTTGGCTTGGGGGGCGCTGGGACCTAGGGGGCAGAGGGAGAAGCCCCCTAGGAGATGGGGGGGACTAAAGCCGGGGAGGCAGAGGGAGGGGCCCCCGGGAGCTGCGGGGGCGGGATCAGGACCCCCCAAACTTACTCGTTTTTCTCCGGCAGTTTCAGCTCCCACTCCGGAAGAGGCTGGCAGCTTTCAGCTCCCATTGGCCAGCCGAGATACCAGGCTCACCTTCCATTGGGCGGGATCGCTTTCATTCAGGCTGCCCACGGCCGGGAGGAGGAGCTACTCCTTAAAGGGGCCGCGTGCCCAAAAGAGTTGCAGTATTCCAGGGGCCTCCATAGGGATGCGTGGTCCCCCGGACCCCGGGGCGCATGGTCACCCCCGACACCCCAGTGACCCTGGGGCCCCTCTACGGGGAGGGGGTAACAGGGCGGTGCCAACTGCTCCTGGGGCATTGGCAGGGGGGCAGGGCAGTGCCAGCTGCTCCTGGGGCATTGCTCCATGGGGTGGGGGTAGCCAGGTTACAGGGGGTAGCGTCAGCCTCAGGCAGGGTCTGCAGGAGCATCAATCACTCTGCACTCAAATCCGAGAGCTCTTCCTCGCCCTTCTAGACCTGCCCTCCTTTTCCTGGGGCTCCCCAGCTGGGGTTCTTGGGGGGTGGGAGTGGGTCTGAAAACCCATGGGCTCCCCCGGCCCACCACCGTGTCCCCCTTGCTGCAGCCATCATGCCAGGGACAGCATTGGCATCACTCCCCCCAGAAAGTGGGAGAACCAGGGGCTAGCAGCATCCCCCAAACCCTCACGCCTGCCATCTCACAACAGCCAGGCCAGAGCTTCCTTGGTGAAGTTAAGGAGCTCAGAGGTAGGGAAAGGGCAGCAGCATCCTGCTTTCCTGCTTAGGCCCCTGCCACTGACATCTGTACTCGATAAAGGGCAGGTGGGAGTATCAGCACTGCCTAGCCCGCAACAAGGTCAGCCTCCCCCAAACCCCCCACTCTATCCCCCCATAAATCAACACACCCAATCATGTCTTGCCAACAGTTTATTGAGGACTCCTCCTTTTAACACTGATGTAGGGACTCCAGATGAAATGCACTCTGCCTCCCCTGCATCCAACCAGCCACACAGCACAGGGCTGCCCTCACCCCATACATTCACACACTGCCTGGCTTGGCAGGGGCACGCACCTGCCTTACACCCAGAGCCAAGGGACACCTGTGAGCGGGAATCCCAGCCCAAAGACAAAGAATGAGGATGGTTTTGTTCTGGGCAGGAAAGGGGGAGCAGGAAAGGGAGGGACACAAGGCAGGAAGACCAAGGTGAGTGAGAAGGAGAGATGGGGGGGAAGGAAAGAGATGGAGGGAAAGCGTGGGGCAGGAGAGAGGCATGCAGCCAGTGCTGAGTGCACCAGGGACAGAGATTAGGAGGGAGATGGGGTATGCAGGCCGTGCTGGGGATAGAACAGCAGCTGTGTCTGTTTTCCAGAAGCACAGTGGCCTTGGAATGTGTGCGAGGCCCCCCACCAAGGCAGCATACTCATCTCAAGCATGGGGGGTTGCAGGGAAGAGACGACCAGTCTAGGAGTTAGGACACCAGGGTCCCGTTCCCATCTCTGTCAGGGACTTGCTGTGAGAGCTAGAGGACAGCAGTACTCAGCTACCTCCTCGGAGGGGCTGGGTGGCTGAGCCCACTGCCTGTAAGGTCCTTGAGTTCCTGGGACGAGAAGGGACATGCGAGGTGTGTCTGATTCCCAGAGTGGCGCTTGCTCTGATGAGATTGACCGCGGGGGACGACAAAGCCTGCTTTGACTGTGAACTCCTTGGGGCAGGGACTGGCTTTTTGGTCTGTTTGTGCAGCACATAGCCCAGTGGGGTACTGATCCATGACGGGGGCTCCTAGGCACTACGGTAATACGAACAAGAATGAGTGGGAACTGGCCTGAGCCCCACCAAACTCATTTCACTGACTAGCTGCAGGATGGGAAGGGCTTCCATGCAGGGCTGGTTTTGAAGTATCCACCTATTGGAAGTTCCCTCTGCCACCATCAGTCCCTGAAACGCCCCCCGCTTCCTTCGCCTCCAACGCCTGGAGCCAAGGGCGGCGGTTCTGAGGCTTTTTGCTTGCCTCACTCATAGGGTGTCTTTGTCTCCTGGAAAAAGGGAAATCCCAGCTAGCAGGCGGAATCAAGCCCTGGCCTCCCACTCCAGAGTCGCAAGCTGCTGGACATGCCTGTGGAAAGTGTGTGTGGGGGGGGGGGGGGGGCGTGAGGCCCAGCCAAGCGTAGAAGCACGGCAGCGTTCACCTGGCCAGCAGCCAACAGGACCATCTGGTCTAAACTTACCCAAGCGCCTCACTTGACAGCGTCTAATTCACAGCAGCCTGAAATGACCGGCTCTTAATCTGATAGGATTGGCTGCTTTATCCCTCCCTGACCCCAGCTGACCCCGCCATTGCAGGCTAAGCTCTCAGCTCTTCCACATCTGCAGGGCGGAGCAGGGGCCCGGGAGGATGGCGTTTATTTTATCTGGCAGGCTGCTGACGAGACGCAGCGCCTGCCTTGCTGGAGGATTCTAGTGCTGGAAGGAGCCCCGCGTCTGGAGTGGCCTGGAGGAACTGTCCTAAAAAGGAAACAGGAGTGGGAGACGGGATTCCCCCTTCCTCCCTGAGCTCCCAAAGGGCAGCGAGTCATCCAGCCAGGCTAGTGCTGCTGCTTGACAGAAGGGAAACAAGAAGAACATTGACAGGGCAGCCAGGGGAGGCTACGTACAGGGCTGTCGACTGTCGGGAGCAACAGACATGGAAATCCAACACTTCCCTTTGCCAGCCCTTCCTGCCCCAGGGTCTCAAAGTGCTTTAGGAACACCAGTGCGCTCAAGTCCCCTGGGAGGTCGCTCAGCATTATTGACACCATCAGGTCAGGGAGAGTTGGGAACAGGACACAGGTCTTCGGACTCCCAGCCCCTGCTCTGACCACTACACTGCACTCATCCCAAGAGGCAGAAATAGAACCTCAGAGCCCTGACTCCCAGGCAGTCTCCCCTGCTCTAACCACTAGACACCACTCCCCTCTCACGGCTGGGAATAGAGCCCTGACAGCCAAGCCCATTGCTTTATCGATATTACACCATTTCTTCCCAGGGTAGCCGCACCGAGAGCCCCATTGCCATGGGAACTGAACCCTCAAAGGGCCTGGCGCTTTTGGGGAGAGAACTGCCCCACTGGCACTCTTTAGAGCATTGCTGCCGATATGGCACACACCGAATGCCATAATCCCAATGGACATCCCTAGGGAGATCATGACCAGCGTGGTGACATCATCAGGGTGAACCTTCTGTGTGATGACATCACAACAAGCCCTGAGCCCAAGGGCACAGAATGAACCCTGGCACAACGTCATCAAAGGAAGCACAAATCCGAAGTCACTACACACAGTGACATCAGCAAAATAAATTCCTGGTGTGCGGCCAGCAGAACAAGCCAAGGCCATGATGCACCAAATATGGCCAGCCAGTGCACAGTGTTACAACTCGGATAAGCCTCCGTTATGACCTCATCACAAGGTGCAACAAACACGATGCCCATCACCACCAGCACCTCCAGTGATGTCACTATGGAGCATCACCATGGGCACCCCACCCGATGCCAACAGGCGGGAGGGCAGCAGAGCTTGCAAGGAAACGTGCCACTCACCTGCTGCGTATGAGAACGGCCCCTGGCTGCCCGTGCGGAGTCCCCCATTCACATTAACGGCACCACAGCCCTGCACTGAGAGCACAGTACCTCTCCGTATCCCAGAACGCCCCCACCCTGCTCAGGCCAGGCGTGGCTGCACTGCTGGAGTCCCCGGCAGTGAGTTACATGCAGCTTCCCCGCCATTGTGTATTGGGGAGGGGGTTTCTAAGCCGGCCATTTCCTTCCCGCTCCTGCACCGGCAGAGCAGCCTCTGGCTTGCCACACACTTTGGAAAGAGTTAAGCAGCAGCCCGGGCCCTAAGGTTTAATTACAGAGGGAACTGTTAAACCAGAGAGGCTTTTAATCCCTTGGCCTCCTCCCCGCGCACACTGCCAACTGGTGTAGCAGAGAACAGATGGGAACAGGGCCTCCGGCGATTCGCAGGCGCTGGGGGAGGAGAGAGGCTCCACTCCTTTGCACAAGCTGGGGCCGCCCTTGTGCTGCCTGGGACCACGTCAGAGGGAGAAACCGAGGCAGAGCCTGATAGTGCAGCAGCAGCCTCCCACCCTCCCGGTGCAGAAAGAGCAGAGAGCTGACGTGACCGCCCCCCAAGTAGGGTTGCCAACATGGTATTTCAAAAATAAGGGACTGTTTTCTTAGTACCCCCGCCTCCTGATATTATCATTATTAATAATAATCAGCAGTACTAACCTACACTTGCCAGGGGGATTTCTTGCTGCTCTTTGCAGCACTCAGCAACTCCCAATCTTGTTGCCCAGAGATGACAAAATAAGGGATGTCCCTTGTAATAAGGGACCGTTGGCAACCCTACGCCCAAGCCACAACCTCCTGTGTGCTCCAGGCCTCCCTGTATTGGCCCCCAGGGCTCGAGGGAGATGCTTGCTCTCCTTGGGACCTCACAAGTGCATGAGCCACTTCCTCCTGCCTTTGTTACTCCTGCTGGGAGGGACCGCCAGCCCGGCAGGATGGGCTGTTACAACTACTGCATGATCTCGCCGCACTTCACTCGCTCAGCCAACGTGCACAGCAATGAGAGCGTGGCCTGGAGAGACGCAGGCAGACAGGAGATTGGAATAAACCAGAGGGCCTGTTTGATGCACCGATTAAGATGGTGTCTGCTGCCAGGGGGAGGAGGACAGCAAGGGCAAGAGAAAGGGGAATTGGGGAGCAGCAGACTGTCTGCTTTCCTCACCCCAGCTGGTTGGTGGGACCTGCCCTCCCACTCCATTCCCCGGTTAGGGAGACAGGTCATACCAGCCTGCTTCCAGGGGCTGGGGAGAGAGAACAAAGGGGTCCGTCTGGCAGAGTGGGGGGTTGGCCAATATTGTCACTAGACAAACACCTCAGAAATGCCCCCCTCTCACACACACCACTGCCACCCCCTAACCAGGCCACACTCCCCTGTAGGGTCCAGGGGGACTCACTGGGTTGGGCCCCTCAGTGATCCGGATTCTCAGTCCACAGGGAACCAGCAGTGGCCACAGGGGAGAGATGGACACGGAGGTGGGGAAAGCAGGGAAGGCCAGGTGGAGATCTGGGTCTTAAACCAATGCAATGGCCTTGTTGGCTGATGGGTCTTGGGGTGAAAGGCTCCAGGGACCTTGGTTAGCTCCCCCCGGCCCCCAGCCCTGCCCCAAGCCCTGAGACACCTGTGAAGGGGAGTGCGTGAGAATTAAACGGACATTGATTCTGCATGCGATGTCAGTCGTGTCTCCTCAAAGACTCGTCTCAGACGTTTATTTCCATGGCTCCCCCACCCCTAGGCCCATCAGCCCTCGCCTCCAGCCTGAGAGGATCTGCGGGGATGGAGACCTGGCCACGGTCCCTCCCGCAGAGTGCGCTGCCCCCGGGAGCGAGCACCATGGCGTGACATCGCCGAAGTAAGCACCAAGCGTGACATCGTCAAGGCGAGCGGCGGGAAGACGCCTTCGGAACGAGCACTGGGTGTGACGTCATGTGGGCATGGCGGGGCTCTGCAGGGTAGGTGGGGCTGGCACAGCCGGCAGCAGCATATCGGACAAGTGCTCAGTGCAGAACGGTTGCAATAGAAACCCAAGGAGTCCCGTGTGTCGCTGGAAGCTGGAATCCCATGCGATCCACTGGCTCCTGGCAGGGGCTGTATGGAACATGCTGGGGGTCACATCACTTGGGTGGATGGTCTCTCAGATGGCTCATCCCCTCCTACCTGTCCGCGTCTCAGCTTCTGCCCTTCCCGGAGCAGGGGAGTGGCTGGGCCTGAGCATGCTTTGGCCCCATTTTGTCCAGCAGCCATCTTCCTCGTCACAGGCCCTGCGCTCTGGTCACTTCAGCCTGACAACCCTGGCCTGTCATAGTCAATGCCAAAGAGCCATTCCCCATCCAGACAGGCGGATGTGGGGCTCCCCAGGAATCCTGCGCTGCTGCCCCCTTTGTTTCAATTCTGCATCCTGGAGGCCCCGGTCTGAAGCCAGCCCTCCGTCTCCATGCTGCATGCCTGCCAGTGCCTTAAGTGTAGCCCTGCAGGGTCCCCACTGCCTCCCTCACAGCACCATACACCATGCTGTCCATCTGCAAGGGAAGGAAAAGAAGCAGGGTTCAGACACCGACTTAAAAGATCATTAAGGCATCACCGTAACTCCGTACACCTCTATAGAGCATCTCAGCTCAAAGGACCCCACGGCACTTTGCATCAATGGGCCGGATTCTCCTCTCACTCACATACGTGTAAAGCAGGAAGAACTCCACTGAAATAATTGGAATAACGCCAGAGCCAAGCCAGCCTAAGGAAGGCGAGATCAGGCCCTTTATACAGAGAAGCCACTTTGCCTCAGACCAAAATGCAGCCAGCTCTAGGGTAGAACACCACTGGTGGACATCAACACTGCAAAAGCAATCCCGTATTCACTTGAAACTGAGGGGGATTTTAAAGAGGCAGAGCATAGTTACCCACATTAAAATCTGGGCATGCAGGATGCCAGGGTTAATACTCGGACTCTTGCAAAAATTACTCAGGTATCTAACGGCCACAAAATTACTCAGGTATCTTTCAGCACTGTGGGGGGCCCCCAGCACCCCTGGATTCAAGAGTGAATCCCCAACAGCCAGACTTTTGGGGAGAGGTGGGATGGTGGTTGTGGTGGGGAGGCTAGCTCCTGACCTGTGCACGAAGTCTCTGTGCCGTGCCGGCAGGGTCTGTGGTCTGAGCTGCGAGCCGTGCCGAGCGGGCAGCATTCTCCGGCGAGAGGAATCTCTGCGTGACGCTGATGGTACTGCTGAGGCTCTGCACCTGCCGTGGGGGAAGGAGAGCGTGTGAGGGAGCCCAGGGGTGCCAGGGCAGCATCAGAAGGGTGGGAAGGCACCATCCTGCCAGAGGAGAGAGCATCACCTTGGAACCGGGCATCTGGACATGGGGCTACGCTGCCTGCACTTGCTGATCAATGCACGGATAAAAAGCCTCCAAGGAGGTAGCGTGACCTAGTGGATAGGGCACTAGGACTTAGGAGACCAGGGTTCCATTCCCAGCACTGTTGCTGGGTGGCCTTGGGCAATCACTTCCCCTCTCCGTGCCTTAGTGTCCCCATCTGTAAAGTGGGATAATGACACAGGTCCCCTTTGTAAAGTGCTTGGAGCGCTCCTGATGAGACATTATTATTAAGGAGGAGACTCTCAGCTTTGGCTAGGGTAAAAGATGGTAGCAGTTAATAGGGGAACCCTAGCCCCACCCAGGGGAAACTGGTATGGGGAGAAGGCTAAGGTGAATCAGAGCTGGGCTCCTCCTGACCTGGTGTGGAGCCCCTGTCGGCACCAGCACTGCATCCCCCAGGAACTGGAGCAGGGTCCAGCCACTCACGCCACATTCCTCCCGCAGCCTCCTCCGCAGAAACGCATCCAGGTAGCAGCTCCTGTGGCCGTTCAGATCCAGCTGGGCCGCCCCGTCCTGGCCTTGGGCTTTGCACACCTGCCAGGGGAAAGGGTGGAGCTGACGTGAAATGAGTTTGGCAGGTCTCTTTTTGCACTGCAAAAATTTGCCGCCCGGCATGGGGTTCCTTTGTGGGAAGGCTCAGCAGAGAAGCCTAGGACTGAGTAAGACACATGCAGACTAGATCCTGGGTGCAGTCCTAGGAGAAGTACTGTAAGTAGATTTATGGGCCCTCTGGGAATGGACTCCCGGAGCAGTCCCTGGGTGAGAAGGAGAAGAACCAGAACTGGATTCCTGGGCCCATCTGGAATGGACTCTGGGCACAGCCCCCTGCAAGAATCACTCACCTTCTGTAAGAACCCCTCGATGCAGTCAGCATCCTCCGCTCGGAAGATGTGCCACACGGCTCCTGCCCAGTTCCTCGTGTTCCAGAGCCGCTCCTTAAGGACGTCATCAACTCCATCCTCTTCCACCCTCCGGAGAATCTCTGTGGCATAAAGGGAGAGGTATTTAGACTGAGGTGGTTTGCCAACAACCTAGAGCCCAATCAGTTCCTGGAGCCCTACCTTTCTGGGCACTGTGCCCGTCCAGCGGGTACGCCCCAACGTACACCAAGACGCTGATGGAATCTGTCGCCTCCACTGTCAGGTTTTTGGTCCCAATGGTCCTGTCCTCAGGGGCCACACCTGGGAATCAGGAGCAAATGTCCCATGAGAATTCAGCTCAGTTCATGCACTGGCCCACCAGCTCCATCATCTGAGCCGGGAAGAGGCTGCTTCCCAGCAGGGCTGGCTCCAGGCACCAGCCTGGCAAGCAGGTGCTTGGGGCGGCCACTCCAGAGAGAGGCGGCACATCCAGCTATTCGGTGGCAATTCGGCGGACGGTCCCTCACTCCAGCTCGGAGCGAAGGACCTCCCGCCGAATTGCCGCCGCAGATCGCGATCGCAGCTTTTCTTTTTTTTTTGGGCTGCTTGGGGCGGCCAAAACCCTGGAGCCGGCCCTGCTTCCCAGCCTCTGCTGTTTCCAAAAAGAGGACACTGCGGCTTTTAGAGCTTAATGAAGAGACAGCAGGCCTGTGTGCATACAGAGCCTAGACAATGGGGCCCTGATCTCAGTCGGGGTCTCGAGACACTACCATAACGTGAGTAATAAATGGTACTGATAACATGATAATTCCCCACTAAGGAATCCAAGCAGATCTATTGACTCTATTGTTGGAGACCAGCAGAGAAACAGATCAGCCTCTTGTAAATACAGAGGCATCAAAGCAGGGCAATGAGGATAAGGCACAGGACTGACAGTCAGGAGTCCTGGATTCTTTCTTCCACAGAGTCCATGTGGCCTTGGCCAAGTCTCTGCCTCAGTTTCCCCATCTGTCAGTGGAAGATAATGAGGCTCGCCCTGCTTTGCGAAGCACTTTGAGACATACAGGCAGTACAAGAGCTATTTAAAATGCAAGTGGAGAGCAGGACGAACCATAGGCAGCACAGATCTGGGGACTCAGCCACTGCCTGCCTTGGCTACCCGGCAGGTACGAGGCTAAGTTCATCTTTCCATCATGCCCGCAGTACTCCAGCAGTGGCAAACTGGCATAGAGGTTTTCAGCCCTGTGGGAGAGAGGAGAAGACTCGTAAATCCCAAAACTAGAGCATGTCACACTCTCACTCCGCAGCTTGTTTTGCTGCAATTCTCCTAGCCGAGGGCCAGCCCTGGGAATTCAGTCTCTATCATACAGGAGCATGTTCTGAGGAACAGACATTGGGAAGGAATGACAGGTGCAGAAAAGCTGACGCCTTCCCATGGCTTGCAGCCAGCCTGCAGGAAATCACATGCAGCCATACTGAGTATGTCTACACTGCAAAAAAGTTCTCAACTCAGGTTAGCCAGGGGTGTAGTCTTGATTTTTTTAAATGCAGGTATTCCACCCCCGCCAGCGTGACCCCACAGCATGATTCTGTATAAAAAGGCATCCCTCATGTGCATGACCTTACCCGTACAGTGCGTACAAGGCCAAAAGCGCAGGGACACTGTTCCTGCAGGTTCTGCCCCACAGCCTGACTGAGGTGAGCTAGCTTGGGTTAAAATAGCAGGGAAAACACAGCAACTCAGCTCATGTTAAAGCCTATGGGCGCCTGGGGTTGAACTTGTGCTGCTAACCCAATTAGCAATGTCTTCCCTGCCATTTGAGCCACATTAGCCAACCCAAGTTAAGAACACCCGTTGCTTTGAAGTGTGGACACACTGACTGGGGCTGGGTTTTAAATAGCACAGGAAAATGTTATGGCCCACAATAACAGGCCAGATTTTCCTCTCCCAGTTAACCCATTGAAACTCCACTAACTGCAACGGGACGCACCCATATTACAGCAGTGTAACAGACCGAAGCATTGGGCTTGCGGGGCGCTAGGGAGGTTATTGACAAAAATCAGAAATAGCCCTGGTTACTCAGGGGTGGCAGAGCCTGCCTGGGTGAGCTGGGGGGTCTTTGCCCAGCCATGTGGCCTACCCAAATCAGCAAGGAGGTCATGGATAGCACCTAGACACTGATTTGGTCCTTTCAGTTATTAGGCCCTCCCTTCAGCTTTATCCCTTTGCAGTGCGTCAGTCGCTCACGGAAACAACCACGACACTGGCACGGGCAGAACTTGGGAATGCCCCTGACCGTACTATGGAGCTTATGAAACTGTGAAATCAAGGCATTTATGCCATGGTTCGAATGGCCGCATACACCTGGGGAGGGGGTGGGCTGGGAGTCAGGGCTCCTGGGCTCCATTCCCAGTTTGGGAAGGGGAGTGGGGGCTAGTGGTCAGAGCAGGGGGGGGCTGGGAATTTTATTCCCAACTCTGCCATCAACTCTCTCTGTGAGCATTCCATGCCTCAGTTTCCCTGTCTGTAACATGGGCGGGGAAGGCAGCATCAGAGGATGGTTACAAAGATTAGTCAATGTGTCTCTGTGGCTTTGAGATCTTTGGATGGAAGGAGATATGTACGGTGAATGATCAGGGTTTGTTCACAGAAACGGCTTTTGTTTTGGCCTGTCCCTAATACAAACCGGTGATATGCTCAGAGGTTGTAACGGGATGCTATCAGGCAGTCCCTGAAGGGTGAGAAGGCAGAGGCGGACTCAGCCCTAGACTGATCTCTGGGGGCCTAGTCTCAGCCCGGAAGTGGAGTCAGGGCAGCACTTGGGATTTCCCTTTCCAAATCCTTCTGCCTTCCTAGGATTGGGAGCTTGATCCTCAGTGTAAAATGAGTATGAACCCCACCCCATGAGACATGGTGCAGGGCAGTAAGGCGCAGGACTCAGAGTCTGAGCTGGAGTCTCCCTCCCACGTGGGGTGCTGCCCTACAGGACCCCGTTATAGGGATCTGCAGCTGGGGCTGCCCTTCTGCAGAAAAGCTAAGTCCAAAGAGCCTCCATGTATTGTGCTGTGGTTTCCCTCCCTGGGGACCCCAGAGTGCACTCCTGTAACGGCAGGGAAGGAGGCGAGGCCATGGCATGGAGGCTGCGAGGAGACTATCGCTTACAGCCAGGCTGCCACACAAAGCCAGCAGACCGAGACTACTCCGTGTGCCCAAGTGGAAAAGCCAGGTCCTGGCAGTGGCTGCTGCTGCCCCAGCCGCTCGCCAGCTCCTCACCACCTCCTTCCAAAATAAAAACACATGGATGTGAAAAACAAGGCCTGTTTTTTCCACTCCCCATCCCACGGCAGCAGCGGGCTTACGAGCTACTGGGAAAGTGGCAGGCAGAGGGAGCCACAACAGGTTGGCTCAGCCCCGCACTCACACAAGGGGCGGGTTCAGCCCTGGGAGCTAAAGCCACTCCAAGCTAAGTCTCCTTCCCCGGCTGGCTCCAGGACTGCCCATGCAGGGAGGTAGCCCAGGGGATCTGGAAAAGCCAGGCCTGGGTGCTCACCTGGGGAGTAGAAGGTGCTACCCATGTAGTGGCTGCTGATCATGGCAGGTTCACCTAGAGATGCACTTCCATAGTGAACAACCATGTGCAGTGGAGGCCTGGTTCCATGTACCTCCATGCTAATGGTTAGTGGCCTGCACACAGGCCTGGGGTCCAGTCCCAACTCCGACACTGAGGTGAACCTGGAAGGGTCCTAGCCCTACCAAGCGGGGAGGAGATGACGTGAGGGAGTGGATGTAGAGGCAAGGATGGGTGCAGGTGAGTGGGGAGACAGGTTGATAAGGGGGGGGAGAGCCGGGGGCAGGCGAGTGGGTAGCTTTTTATCTGCCCCCAGTATCCATGTACCTGCACATTGGCATGTCCCCAAAGCCGCTCTCTAGCTTGAGCAGGTTCCCCTCGCTGTTCTCTGTCTCCAGGCATTCTGTAAGGAAGGGAAGAGCAGAGTCTTACAGACAACTGGGTCTCCCGCTTATGCAGGCTGCGGGGAGCAGGGTGTCTTGCCCGGCAGAGCCCCTGAGCACCCCAAGCCTGCTTTGCTCCCTCAGCTTTACTCCCGCTGTAACTCAAAGCATCAGACCTTCCTCAGCAGCAGGATGGTGCAAGTGTCAAGTGAATTCCCCCTCCACATGCAGCCAGAGCCCAGAGGCCGGTGCCCACGCTCACTGTTAGAGAAGTGGATGCTAGGTCCCTGCAGTTGCCTGTGCTATGCCCAAGCCCTGTGTTTTGGCTGGGTCTGTCCTGTCCGCACTAGGGGGAAGGGATGATAAATATCCCTGGTTCCCTTGTGCCTTTTTAAACTCAAACTGACTTTATTGCAACAGAAAGGAGCCAGATCTCTCCCCCAATGCCCTAGAGACTGGTAGCTTCTGTGCCCAGTCGGTCCTTGGCCTCTCTGCTGTGGCTGCCACGGAGGGAACCAGCTAGTGCTGGGTTTGTGACGTGGGCATCTGTCTACTAGGCACTGCGCTGAGACCCAGCACCGTCCTTTCTCACAAATCCCTGCCCCACCTGTGGGTGCCCAACGGAGCCAGCCCCTCCTCCATGCTAACCCTCCTGCAAGCTCTCAGCCACTTACTGGCACTGGAGGCAAAGCCGTCCCAGAAGTCCTTGCTGCTGACCCTTATCCAGCCCGGCTGGCTTCGCAGGTTCACCGCCTGCACCTCCTGCCCCCGCTGTTCGTGGCAGAACGACTCGGGCTCCCACAGGTTTCTCTTCAGTGTCTTCTGCAGCCCTGAAACCAAGACAGGCTGCGGGGGGGGGGGCAGCACAGGGGAGGCGGAGGTTACCGGGCTGGAGCATGCCTAGAGAGTGTGCAGGAGGCGTCATCCCTGGGAGAAGGGCATTGGGGGCTATAACCCTGGAGGGGTGCAGAGGGGCAGACAAGGCTGCTCCCAGCCCTTCAACAGGGGACCCACAGACAGCAACCCCAGTGGAGCAGTAGAACCATCCCCTTCCCCACGACGCAGCCCTGGGACAAGCCCTCCTCTCTGTGTGGCACTGAGCTGAGGGAACAGCCTAGACAGCCCCCGGGCCAGCACATCACTAAGGACTGCGGGACCCTGGTGCGGCACTGGGATGGGGTGGGTCTGAGGAGACAGCCCAGAGAGATCCTGGCGTTACCATCCCTACCTGGCTCTGCCTCCAGTGCTCCTGGAAGAGCTTGTAGTTGCAGGAGTGGTTTGGATCGTGAAGCCACAGGAGTCCCCCCAGGGCCAGGATGCAGTGGGAGACCTGCGGCTCGGGGGGGCTGGGGCTCCACCGCTCACGTTCTGAGTGCTTCTCCTGGATCTTCCTCTCCACCACCTGGGCGATGATGCTGTCCAGGATGTTGGTGATCCGGTTGTCCTGGGAGGGCAAAGGACCAAGGCTGAAATCCCAGTGTCTCCACAGCGTCCTTACCACCCTCTCCCCTTCCCAGGCCCCTTCTCCCCGGGGACCTGACTGATAATCCCTCCCATGGAGTGAGCACAGCCCTGTTGGAGCCAATCTCTCCACGAGATCCAACCTCAGGGACCCGGGAGACGGGCCTGGGGCACGTAGGTCGGATCTGGGATCGGATCGGATCCGAATCCAACCCCTCTCCCCACACTGGGGGGCCTGAGTTGCAGAGCTCAGATCCAGGCCTTGGAAGTGGGAGGCCCAGCCCGTGTCTGAGCGGAGCCCCCCCAGCGGCAGAACCTGCAAAAGAACCCACAGGGCCCCGGCAGCGGCCTGTACTCACGCTGGGCAAGGCCGGGGAGACGGGCGCGAAGGCCATGCGGACGCCGTTCTGCCCCAGGCACAGCCTGACGGCCGTAGAGGTCAGGAGCTCGCAGAGGGTGGACGTCTGCACTGCGCTCTTGGGGCCCTGCTCGCTCGGCGGGTGGATGGAGTCTGGGTTTTCTGGGGGGGAGGGGAGAAAGGGGAAGGGTTGGAGAGACATCACTGATGTCCTTCCCCCAGGGGACTCTGAGCTGGGTGTCCCACAGGGGAAAACAACAAGTCCACAGGTACCCACAGGAGACCCTGCTCCCCCAGGGACAGAGCAGGTACCATTAGGAGCCATGCAAGCTTCTCTCTCTCAGCTCTGTAGTCTGCCCTACAGCCCCCTGGGCTCCCCATTGCACCTCAGTCCTGCCCTGCAGCTCCCCCACCCCCGCACAACTACCCAAGCCCTGGGTCTTTCCCAGCCCTGTCCCAGGCTACACTGCTTTCCCACATACATTGGGGAATCGCACCTCTCCCGTGGTGTCTTCTATTCCCACAGAGGTGGTACAGCACATGCACCCGGCCCTCCTCACCCACCCCCTCTGCCTCCCAGGGGCTGCAGAGGAGGAGGGCTGGTTTGCTCCCTGCTGCATCAGTTCGGAGGCGTGCACAGAGAGCGTCCGATCCTTCTGTGCACGCAGCAGAGACAGGCGGTGAGACCTACCTTCCTTGATTACCCTCGAGCCATCTGTCTCTCCGTTGCTGGCAGGTTGTAGCAAAGGTGTCATGTTCCCCATCTCCTCCTTCTGAAACATCCAAAGGGAGGGATCCATGAGGGCACCCCAGGTAGGAGCATCTCCCAGCCCTGCTCCCCGAGATTCCCTCCTGGCGGGGCTTCCTAACTATTCCTCCAGACATCAAGCTGAGACTAAAGGCACTGATGCCCCATGTTATCATGGGATACCCCATCTATTAGAGCCAAGAGCAGCCCCGCCAGCAGGGTACCTGGCCAGGAGTGAGATTCAGGCCCCCAGCCACAGCAACCCCAGCACTGCTGCTCCCCCACGGCGCTGGGAGTTACTATGACTACACCTCTGTTGCTGCCAGTGTTTGCTCTGCAACCTGAGCTCTCCATCGCCCCCTCTGAATGCCAAGCCGGGTGTCTCCTACTCATACACACAGTTCCTTTTACATCCCTCCCCCAGTGTTCTCCCTGCCCCCTCCCATCCTGTCCCAATAGACCCCACTCGGGCTGCCCCCCAATCGTACCTGCCCACCCCTCGTGTTGTCGGTGAGGCTCTTGCTCAGGATGCTCAGTCTGCAGGGGCAGCGCGACTCGATGTCAAACTTCACCTGCACTTCGTGCATCAGCTTCCAGAGCTCAGCCAGGACTAGGAGAAGGACGGAGACGGGTTAGAGGAGGCGGCAGGTCTGAGAGGCGACAGCCCTGCTGAGCAATAGAGCTCTGCATAGCTCTGTCCCAGCGCTCAAAGCACTGCAGGAGCTCAGCAGGGAGGAACTGGGGTCAGGGAGGGAGCGGGAGCCCGGTCTGCAGAGGAGATCATTGTGACTGCAGCCCCCGCCTCTCCCAGCAGGAGGCACTGCAGGGAGCAGGGTGGGAATGCTGGCTGCGGAGACGCTCCCAGAGGGAAGCGCTGCAGGGAACAGCTAATGGAGCATTGGATAGATGCTTCCTTTTTGATGCCAGGTGCTAAGTAGGGTTCGTTTCCCCCCAAGCATAAAGCACAGGAGTGGGGAGCCCTGCACAGCCCATTTGCAGTGATTGTACACCAGCTTCTCCTGCTGTTCGCCCGACTGCCTGGGGAAGCGCCAGGGGGTAGCTCACCGTGGGTGGGGATGAACTGCGCGGGGATGAGGGACAGAACGTCATGGTCCTGCCCTTGGACACACTTGGCCGACTGCACAGACTCCTCTGTCTGGGCTAGGGAGGGAGAGAGAGAGAGAGAATGAGAATGTGGGCACCAGTCACTGCTGAGAGCTGGCAAACTCACAGGGACCAGAGCTGCTACCTCCACCCACCCTCAAAAACTCTTCAAACTGGGAATTTTGAGATGGCTCCAAAGTCAAACACTAGATGCAGCGGGAGGCTGAAATCCCGTTGCAAATTGTACCGCTTGAGCCCTCTACCAATGTCAATAGAGACGAAACAGCAGCACCAAGGATTCTGTCCATTCCCTTCCCAACCCCCCCTTGGCCCAGGGACTTGCCTGGGCAGGGGTATTGGTGTAATGACACTAGTGCAAAGCCCCAGCACAGACACACTGCACCAGTGCAAACTGAGGCTTGCTCTCTCTCGTGCAACACTGGTGCAGTCATGCACTGACTTAGCTACAGAACCATGCTAGTGTCATGGAGGAAACAGGCTTTAGCTGCAAGTTTGACTCTGGATTCTGCACACCCCAAGTTGGGGACAGCGGTGGCTCCAGGCACCAGCGCTCCAAGCGTGTGTCTGGGGCGGCAAGCCACGGGGGGCGTCCTTCCGGTCCCTGCAAGGGCGGCAGTCAGGCTGCCTTCGGCGGCGTGCCTGCGGGAGGTCTGCCGGTCCCACGGATTCGGCGGCGGGTACGCCGAAGCCGCAGGTCCGGCGGACCTCCCCCAGGAATGCCGCCGAATCGGTGGGACCAGGGACCTCCCCCAGGAATGCCACCGAATCCGTGGGACCAGAGACCTCCCGCAGGCATGCCGCCGAATCCGTGGGACCAGGGACCTCCCGCAGGCATGCCGCCGAAGGCCGCCTGACTGCCATGCTTGGGGTGGCAAAAAAGCTAGAGCCAACCCTGGTTCGGGGGCTGCATGTTCAGATCTGGAGCTTTGGCTCAACGGAGGGGCCGTTTACAAAATTCAGGTTGGGGGCCAGATACACCCCACCCCCCCTCCAGCAATCAGGGCTGTTTGGACTGAGGGCATCTCTAGTTCCATTGTAAGCTATCATACAATGCTGTACATGCTCTCAGCTGATCTCCTGGACAGTTATAACTGCCCCAGGCCCGCCCCCCACCACACTCCTGAAGTGCTTGGGGAACCCGGTGCACTACCTGGGCTGGCTTGCTCTCTCTTGGTCCGGTAGCACTGCGAGCACAGCTGGAACCCACAGCTGGAGCAGTTCCAGTGAGCGTTGAAGAGGCCGTGCTGGCAGGCATCACAGGCCTGCAGGGCGCCTTTCCCTCGCCGCCAGGCGGTCACCCCTGCAAGCAAACAAATGCCTTCAGCGGCTGGCCCTTCTGCTCCGGGACAAAGGACCTTATCTCGCATGGGACTCGGGCACTATGGACTCCAAATATTTGAGGTGTAAAGTCTGGGGCACAGGGGCGTCTCTGTTTCCTGCCAAAGGCCCTTCTGTTTAGATTGGAAAGCAGCACAGTTGCTCTCATTCACCACCACCGTGCTGCTGGGAACAAATTATGGGGGTCTCCTCCCTCCCCGGCTTTACGGCTCCAACCATGTCACCGCTTTGCCTCCCCTTCATCACAAAGCTTCTGCCCGCATGGAAGAGCGTAACCTGGATACAACTCTGCCAAGGCCTTCGTGACCCCATTGCACTAGGGCTGGCCAGGGAGTTCAGTCTAACCCCAAGCCTGAGCTACGCTCCCCCCCTCTTCCCACACAGCTCCCCCAGGGTCCCCGAAACTGCCCTACAGCATTCCTGGCTTTCCCCATGCGGCCCCACCCTGACCCTGGCATGGCACAGCACCATCCCCTGGGTGAGCAGGGAATCTGCTTTCCACGTGGCATGATCACACCCTGCTCTCCACGGCTCCGCAGCACAGAATCAGCACCTCTGATCTATACCAGAGTGGAGTGGAGTCTCCATGGTCACGCAGTCCTGGGCTCACACACACGGTGCCCCAAGGTTCCTCTCCACCTCCTGCATAGTGGGCTGGGTCCGTTTTGTGTTCTCCCCTGTGACTGCAGAGCACCGACCCTCTGGATTCGGGACTGGGGGCGGGGGTTGTTGCTGGGTGCATGTGGATAGCTCGGGTGAGGCCTGCAACACCGCCGCCAAGCCAATGAAGGGGAAAACCACCGCAAGCCTATGGGCCAGATTCTGCTCTCGCAGACAGTGGTGTAAATCCAGAGACACCCCCAGTGGCTCCAATGCAGAATCTGGTCGGATGCGCTGGAGACGGCGGGCAGAGGGGACGGGGCAGAGCAGCACTTCGCTGTGGCTCCCTTCTGCAGACGCAAACCAACCCAGGAACCTGAGCCACGTGGGCTGTGAGCGACCGCGGCGTGAGACCCAGGGCAGAGAAACCCCCTTGTCAGCACAACCCTTTGGGAAATGGACTGAGCCAAGAAACCTCTCGCTCCATCGGACTCACAGGGCCCAACTGGGCACTGCATTGCCACTTGCGGGGTCACTGGGCACGTCTGCACGGCTAACAGGAGGTGTGACTCCAGCCTGTGTAATGCACTGGAGCTGGCTTTGATCTAGCTAGATCCAAGCTGACCCAAGGAGCGATAGCAGTGAAGTTGTGGCTGCTCGGGTGGGTCTGCAGGCTACTGCTGTGTGCCCAGGACCCCGGGTGCAGACTCAAGGAGCCACGGCCCATGCTGCTGCAGTTTCTCTGCTCGTTTTCAAACTAGCGAGATTAAAGCTGGCGGAGTCACATCTACACATGCTGTAATCACACCTCCCAGCTGCAGTGCAGACACACAGTCACCTGCGAGCTAGCCTGACCTGCCTCTCCCGTCTCTGACCCCCAGCTTCGCACCAGGGGGAGTTAACCATTCGCACAGAGCTTCTCCTGACTCTCACCGGGGCCAGTGACAGAAGGATCAATCCCAGCAGGTGCAAAATGCAACAAGAATCACTATTCCCGGCTCACATTTCACGCCCTCTTTGCCTGGGGGTAAGCGGTGACCCCAGGCACCAGGCAGGGGAGCATCTAGCCTCCGTGGAATTCAAACCCACACGCTGCAGTAGGTGAGCATCTCCATGACCCAAAGTGGTCCCCAGCACCGTTGTTTCTGACTTACTTTCGTTTTCCCCTTGCGCCCACAGCCAGGCCTCTCTGTCTCTCCTGATGGCCTCACAGAACTGGTCCCCCAGGACGGAGAGGAGATACTTGGCTAGGCTGAGGCTGGTGCTGATGTCCTGGGCCCTTCTCTCCCTGCTGGAGATCCTCAGGCATAAGCTCTCGCCCTCGGCTTCGTCCAGTGTGGAGAATCCATCCACACTTAGCTCCCCGCTGTCACAGAACGCCAGCCTAAAAGCAGCACAGAGAGGACTCAGCTATGGTCACAGCAAGGAGAAAACTACGAAGTCAGAGAGTCCAGAAGCTGCCAGGCAGCAGGGCCTTCGAGTTCCAGGGGCAGGTTTCCTGAAGGGAGAAAGCTCCAGAGCCCCTAATCTCAACCCAAACTTCCCAGATTAGAAAGCCAGAAGGGACCACTGTGATCATCTAGTCTGAGCTGCAGAACACAGGCCTGAGAACTTCCCTGAATTAACTCCTCACTGAACCAGAGCAGATCTATTAGGAAAACATCCAGTCTTGATTCTAAAATTGCCAGCGATGGAGAATCCGCCAGAGCTCTCGGTAACTTATTCCAATGGTTAATTACCCTCACTATTAAAAATGTGAGCCTTATCGCTAGTCTAAATTTGTCTCGCTTCAGTTCCCAGGCATAGGCTCCGGTTATACCTTTATCTGAGTGACTGAAGGGCCCTCTCTTATCAAATATTTGTTCCCCAGGCAAGTACTTATAAACTATGATCAAGTCATCACTTAACCATCTCTTTGCTAAGCTAAACTGATTGGGCTCCTGACGTCTATCACAATAAGGTGTTTCCCAATCCTTTCATTCAGTGGTGCCACCGAAACCTAAGCACAACCTTGTGTGGGCCAAACAGATTCTACATATTTTGATAAGATTTAAAGTCACCTGTATTGATTTATATTTTAAGTTCAGCTTGTTTCCTAGGTATTTAGATAGAAAACCTATGTCCAGTATTGTCTATTTACATACTTATGTAAACTAAACTGTTGTAAACATGATGACAAAACGCTAATTACTCGGCCTTATGCAATGCTCTGGTGGGCCACGTACGGCCCACGGGCTGTAGGTTGGGCACCCCTGCTAATTCCCATGGCTCTTTTCTGAATCCTCTCCAATTTATCAACATTCTTCTTGAATTGTTGGCACCAGAACAGGACACCGTGTTCCAGCAGCAGTCACTCAAATATCAAATAGAGTCTGATCAAATAACCTCCTTACACCTATTGGACATTCTCCCGGTTGTACGTCCCAAGGATTGCATTAGTCCTTTTGGCCACAGGGTCACACTGAGAGCTCACGTTCAGCTGTTATCCACCATGACCCCCACGGCTTTTTCAGAGTCACCGCTTCCCCCAAACAGTCCCCCAACAGAACTGGCATCCGGTTACAGCATTGGGGTGAACATCCTGACTAACAAACAGCACCATCCAATCTTTAATACACTCACTGGCAAAGGACCCTCTTCAGACAGAACAGCAGCCCTTACTGTATCAACCGCCCCCCTCCTGGTTTTGGCTGGAGGGCTCCCATCCAAATACCGGCTAAGCTCAGCCCCATTAGGCTGTGAGATCTCCTGTGGTGGCAGGTGCATAAGGCTATACAGAAGGGAAGGTTGTTGCCGTCTGTGAGCTACAAGGGGGTACTGCCCCCCTTTCCCTGCCTTCTGCGGTGGTTTGACAGTGTCTGTGATTGCGGTCTGCACATGCAGCGTGTCCAGCACAACCTTTTATTACTTGTCATTGCATTTTATGCCAGTTTCTCAAAAGCAGAGCCAGGCCAGCCTGCAGGGACAGGAGGTGACGGATGGGAATGCAGCGGCATGGAATGGAAGTGTAGAGGAGTTGGGATGGGCATTATTTGTGTTACCATGGTACTTAGGAGCCCCAGGCATGGACCGGAACCCCATGGTGTGAGGTGCTATGCAAACACAGAACAAAAAGCCGTCCCTGTCCCAAAGACTTTGCAATCTAAAGGCAGGATGGTGCCCTACATCAGATCCTCTGGGGCCTTTCACATTCTCGTTTTAAATGTCCAAGCAACGCAACTCCCACCTCGTCCCTGGAGAACAGACTCCGTTGCCCAGCTGATCTCACTGTTCGGAAGCTCCTCCTGATATCCCAACCTAGCGTCTCCTTTTGTAATTTAAGACTTGCTTCTGCCCTCTGCTTCCTGGGGGCTGCAGGAACGAGCCAACGCCCCGTGGGGGAGAGCCGCTGCCAATAGCAGCCCATGCTCCCCCAAATCACAGCACAGGCTCCCCCCCAGACTCGTTATCTTGCAGGCCCCAGGAGTGCCACTTCTCAGTGCAACAGGAGAACTGAAGAGGACAGCCGCACGTGTGCTCACCTTCGGAAATTCAGGAGCCTACAGAAGGTCTCCATGGGTTCTTCCTCCTCCTCCCGGGGCACGGCGCCCATCCCGTCCTTGGAGGCACAAGCACAACACCTCTCAATGCAGTCAGGGAGGGCCATACATGGAACGCTCTGTAGGTATCGCTTCTCCTTCTGCTCTCCGGCGTCCTCTCCGTTGCAACTCAGGAGCCCTGGGGAAACAACGTGGGGTTGAGCACCTGCTACAAAGACACCGGCCAAGATTCCTCGCGAAGGTCCTTGCACACCTCGTCTCGGGGGATGCACCAGAAAGACAGCCTAGCAGACTAGTGCAGTGTCACCACGTGAACTTATGGAACCCTAGAAGGCGGCAGAAGGTCTGATCACATCTGAGTCATTCCCCAGCAACACCCGAGCCTAATTCTGCCCCATCTCCTACCAGACCCTCTCCTGCTCTCCGGCCAAGCTCCCCTCATTCCCTGCCACTGAGGAGAGTGGGTAAATCAGGAAAGATGACAAGGCAAACTGAACAGGCCTCACAAGAGATGAGCTTGGCCCAGCAAGGCTGAGATCTCCTGGTGGTGTCAGAGAGACACAGAGGTGTGGCTGCACAGAGGGTGGAAGGTGGGGTGGAGAGGTAGGTCACTCAAGGCGATGGATGAAGCCAGGGGAACAAACAAGATCCCTGTGGCCTCTGACGCTAGCTCCCTCCCCCTGCCTCCTCTTGGCTTCTGCAGCTCTGTCCTATTCCCTATCCTTGAGGCATCTCACTGGCTCCCATACATTGAGCGTCAGATTCAAACTGGTTATCTTTCCTGGCCCTCCTTCATTCATATCTGCTGCCATCTCTGACTTGGTCTTCTTTCACATTTGCTTCCCTGCCCTCTCGGCCTTCACCAATGAGCCAGCCTTAATGCCCCTTCTCTGTCCTCTTCACACAGGCATCTTCGCCCCTTCTTTTATGCTGCCTCTTAAGCAGGGTTCTCATTTGACTGCGAGTTTTCCAATATTTGGTTCCCCCCGCCCCCAGCTCCAGAAGTCAAGTGATTACAGGAGAATCTCAGCTTGCATTTAAAACAGAAACACACAATAACTTTCTAGCCCTTGTGGTGGGGGAGAAAAGCTTGAGAACGTGACCTGAGCATGACCCTAAAGGCTCCGGAACCAAAAAGCAAAGAAAAAGCAGCCCAAAATAATTATCTGTAAATCATCTCATGATTTGGGGGGGCCCTATTCATGATTGCTGAATGCTTAGAGTTGGCGACATGCCGGAAGTTGCACTTGGAATGCTGTCCACGACCCCCCTACACCAGTCCCCTGGCCATATTCAAGTCCCTCCAAGAACCATTAGGCTGTGTCCGTCCCTTAGTGAGTAACTACATGATTACTCTTATTTAATATCTGCATTGCCAGTCACGATCAGGCCCCCATGTACTGGGTGCTGCACAAACACCCAGGAAAACATAGTCCCCTGCCCTGAAGAACTTGTGATTATTGTCCCCCTCGCCCTCCCTCACAGCCTAGCCTTTTAATGGCATGCTTGTATTGCACCACGTTAATTTGCCTTGTATGCTCTACGGGGCAGGGACCCCATCTGAATGGGTTTGGAATGCCGTCTCCCATGGAGAGAGGGAGGAGAGGAGAGGGCCAAGGAGGGAGCCATGGGACTCTGACAGCAGGAAACACTAGAGAAGTTCCCCAGTCCTGCACTCTCCCAGCCCAGCCGTTTTCTAAAGCATTTGAGCTGCTGTGGAAAGGAAGGAGACCTGAGGAGACATCTTAGTCCCCACCACCAGGCACTACGAGCAAGGATTTAGGGACAAAGTCCCATCTCCTTCTCTCCTGGCTCCCTCCATAACCGAAGAGCAAAGTCAAAGCAATTGCAAATCATGGGCTTTGCTCTTGTCTGACTGTCTTTCTGTGCCTGAGCGCACACGCGTCTGTATTTACATGTATGCACGCATATTTTTCATGCATGTGTATCTTGCTGGGGTGTGTCGTTGCATTCTTGTGTACCTACTTATGTGTGTGTGTTTGCGTGTCTGCGTTTGCACACGTGTTTCTCAGGGACCAAAGAATGGGAACTGAATTATATCCTTCATCCATCCGCCCACACTGTCACCGTTGAATCTGAATGTCTCCGGCCCAATGAAAGTTACCCCAGAACATAACTAGCCTATGCCAATGCTCTGTGCAGGAGTCATGCTCTGCCTCGCGGGCCAGGCCAGCTAGCAAAGGCTGTTCAAGCTGCTGCTCTGCAGGGGTGTCTTATGCAAGGATGGGGCAGCTGCAGAGCAAGAATTAGCCCCACGCCACCACGACTCTGGCCTAGCATCCCCGTTGCTCTGCTTGGCTACACAGGTTCCAAGCTTCTTACCTCCATCTCCTGCATCTGCTTTCCTTCCCATTGCTGGGACCACCTCCCTCTGCTCCGGGGCCTCACAATCCTTCCTCGTGGGATTTAGCGCCTCGTTCTCGGCTACCTTTGAGCTCCGCTTTGCCGAATAGCTACCCCTGCCGACGCATGGGCTCCAGAGATCCTCCCCAGAGACATGGCTGTGAGGCCGCTTAGCTGTCCGTTTGCCAGATCGGTCTGCTTCTTCAGCGCTCTCCTGGCCTTCCCTCTTTAAAGCTTTGAACCTCAGAGGCAAACCCTCTTTGATCTGACCAGGAGCCCCTTTGTCCCCGAGGCAGCTAGCAGGGCATCTGAACTGCTCCGAGTGCCTGGTCAGCCAGGTCTTCTTCAGCTTGGTGTGGTGATTGCTGGGAGGGCAGGGCAGCAGGGAGGAATCCTTGCCCCGTTGGATGCCATGTCCTCCCAAGGCTCCATCTACTTCTCGGTATGGCCCGGGCATCTCATTTCTGGTGCCAAAGGAGTTGACAGCATCGCAGCCTGCCCCCTGGCACCTCTTGCAGCATCTCGGGGGGCAGTCCCAAGGGGAGCATTTGCAGGGGAGAGCATGAGCTGGAAGCACCTCCATCCCAGATGGGAGCTCTACTTTGGAAAGGGCAGGGGGCTGGACTCTGTCCGTGAGTGGAGATCCAGAGGATTCCTGCAGCACCGCAGGGGAGCCAGGCTTCAGGCTTTGGTACATGAGGCTTTCGTCTTTGGACTCGGAGGGCCTGGCCGGTGCTTTGCTGAGAGGATAATCCAGAACCAGGGGCCGGCTGGACCACAAGCTCTCTGCCACCTTGTGCTTTAGGTAGAACAGTGGCTGACCCATTTGGCCATGGTTGTTAGGAAGGGTTTGGTCACTGGGAGGGGCCAGTGCCATGCACCCCCTCTGCTCAGCTCCCTTCCACGTGGGCTCCACGTAGGTCACCTCCATCTCGCTCTCTCCATCTCGCTTCACCTTCCCCACCTTGTACTGGCCGAGCAGCTGAGGCTGCGCCCGGTCGGGCACAGGGGCCAGGTCCTTTCCTGTGTGGGGAAAGCCAGGATCCTTCTTCTGGTAAAACTCCTAGAGGGGAAACAGCAAAGCGCTGAGTGGAGTCAGTGGGGAGGGGGGAATTTTAGGGGGAGAAGAGTGAGAGGAGCAAGTGTGTTTGGGGGAACAAGCGCAGGCCCAGCGGGCACACCTGCCATACGAACTAACACCCGGGCTCGTGCTTAGAGCATTGGGCCGGGAATCAGGACATGCGGCTATGCCCCGGACTCCGTGTAAGCCTGGGCAAGTCTCATGAGTCAGGCCTTGCAGACGCGCTTTGCTCCCACAACTTATTTTAGGTTCTTACATGGAAGCGACTGGGTTCTGAGCTCTTTAGGAAATCTGGCCCCTAGTCGCTCTGTGCCTCAGTTTCCTCACTGGTAAAATGGGGATAATACTCCTTCCTTTCTCCCTCCCTGTGTGTCTCTGGACTGTTTGGATTATAAATTCTCTAGGGCGGGCACTGTCTCTTACCACGTGTCTGTACACCACCCAGCACAACGGGGCCCCGGTTTTGGCTGGGGCCTCCAGGCGGCTACTGGAAACAAATAAATAATACTAAACCCCTGCTCAGGTTAAACCCTCACTGACTGAAGAAAGAATGAACCAGGGCTTCAAGCTTTACCTGGCAAGTAAGCAGAGCTTTTCATTTCCCCAGTGCTTCGCCATCCTTGACTGACTAATCCTTGAGCCCCCCGGCCAGGCAGGTCACTCGAGGCAGTGGAAGGGAGTCCAAACCCAGGAGCTGCCGTTCTCAGATGGTGTCCGTGTCCTGTCCCAATGCCAGACAGCCTCTCACAACTGCCACAACAGCACTGCAGGAGTAGCCTTGAGCGCCCCCGCCTCTGCCCCCGTTAGCACGACTCAGACAAGTGCCACGAATTCACCCTCGGGCTGCGTCTGCCACCGCTACACACTGTCCCATCTCTCACTCCTGATCTACCAACAGCGTCCCTTCTTCGGGATCTCCCCTTGGGCTCCCTGCAGTCAGACTGGGGACCCTGGAGACCATGCTCACTCACTTCCTCCAAACGCTCGCATCTCTAGCACTCCGGCGTCAGGGGGTCTGTCTCCACTGCACACTAAGCCCAGGCTCTGACTCAAGCTTGAGCCCAAGCCCCACTTCCATCCACACACAGATGAGTCTGACTTAAGGCAGCAAGGGCTCCAGACCAGTGTCCTAGGACCTGCTGGGGAGCAGGTCAGAGTCCTGCTGGGACTGGGGACCAAGGCCTGTCATTTTGCAGTGTGGATGCAGCTCAAGCCGCAGACCCGAATCAGAAGGTCTGTGTAGTGTAGTATGGATGCGTTAGTGCGGCTGTGAGACCCGGGTCCAGCGATTGGAAGTCCAGGTTTACAATGCACAGTGGACGCTCACACACAGGCTTGGAAACACCAAGTCCACAAACCTGGGTCCCACAGACCGTCGTGTGTGGTGTAGAGGGGTCAGCGTCAAGACAAGTGTTCTGGGAGAGTGGCTCCCAGCCTTTTCAAGCACCTGCACCCGGCTAAGGACCCAACCCTCCATACTAGGGAGGGGGGCCTACAGCACCAGCCAGAAAAGCCAGAAGCACTAGCACTGGGGTGTGGTGGGGCAGCACTGGTCTGCAGCCTTCAGCAACAGCATTTCCCCATACATGAAAATTCAGCCAGGCCCAGGAGCTGGGCATGAGCCTGAATCACTCCCACTAACGGGCACCCCTACCCACCGCCTGTACAAGGCCTGGCCTCGTCACCCAGGGCAAGCACAATTGGGGGCAGATCCAGTTACACCAGGCAGATATTCCCCAGGGATACCCTGCAAACCAACAGCTGCTTTCACATTTAAAAGTCACTGGCTGGCTGCTACTCTTGGGGAGGCATCCCAGGCATTTAACCCTCTCTAGTCTTGTTCCTTGCTGAGCACAACATGCTGCTTGGCTGATCCTGGGTGCTAGAGTGGCTGGTTGAATTAAGCCCCTGGCTGCTCTCTATGCAGCTCCCCAGGGAAAGAGTCCAGAGCCGGTTGGGCTAGCACAGAGGAGACTATTCCCGATAGAGAACCCTAGTTCTGGGTCCTAGTTAATGGGTATGTTGTCAATTTGATTCCAGACACGTATCCCTGGTTGCCTCCTACCTAACGGTGCCAACAAGGACCTTCCTGATTCATTCTCTGAATACAAAAGCATCCAGGGTTCAGTTGCAGTGGAGGTCTAACGCCCACGCACAGGTCTGTCTCTTCCTCTGCCATGTCACCTGGCTCCACACTCCCCTTTCTGCATGTGCTTTTGCATGAATGGTTGGGCTCATTTCTAGCAAGAGATGAGTCCAACGGCAGGTCAGAAAGCAGGTCTTCAATTCACTCCTGAGCCCGGACATCCCCGCTGGGACCTTGTCCACTGCTGATCTCCAGCCCCAGGACATGAGTCGTCTCCAATACCCCTCCCAAAGAGCATGCAATAGATTGTGGAACTGAGGGCGCTTAGTAGGATAGACTTGAGGTTAAGGAACTGGGATGGGATTTAAAGGGCCAGGATCCAATTCCTGACTCTGCCACAGACTCTCTGAGGCACCTTGGGTGAGTCATAATCGCTCTGCACCTCAGTTTCTCCATCTGTGAAATGGGAATAACCATACTTTCCCTGCCTGTCTTGTCTAGTTAGACTGGAAGGTCTCTGGGGCAGGGACTGTCTCTTGTTGCCAGATGCTCAAAAGAGCTCAGCGCCCAACAGCATTGTTCTCCGTGGTGCTGCTGGCCAATAGTGTGTGTTTGTACAGCACCTAGCACACTGCTATCAGCTGGGGTCTCCCTCCCGGTGCCACTGTAACACGAAGAGCAATAGCTGTATAGACTCCAAGCACTTACCTTGCTTCCTGAGCTGGAGCAGGTTTCAAAAGCAGACGGGGTCTTTGTTCTTGGATGGGGTGCCAGGTACGCTGGCTGGCTCCATGCGCATGGGTAAGGTGCCCGGTGCCAATCTGGGTCAGTGTACTGGGCCTCTCCCAAAGCAGAGGGGCAGTCCTGGGGCTGGCCAGCCAGGGCTAGGCTGGCCAAGCTATTGCCATAGGCAGACTCAGCTGGAGTGCTTGCTGATATGATGGAGGAAGCCAAGAAGGGGTTCCTCTCTGCCAGCTTGGCCTCCACCAGGAAGGGGCAGTGGGTGTTCAGGTGGTGGAAGGAAGGGGGGTCGCCCGCGCTGTCCCCAGAGGGACTGGCGGAGTGGAGGGAGTCTTGCTCAGATAGCTGGTAAGGTTTGCCAGTGGCAGCCGGGCTTTGGTTTTCCAGCCCAGATAACGGCAGGGGGTAGTTGTGGTAAGCGTGGCTGTACAGGGCAAGCTGGCTGGCCAGCATGGCCTCTGTCCACATAGGGCCAGGCCTGTCTTTATTCTGCTCCGCCCAGCTGATATTTACCTCCCCGTTCTTGGGCTCGGAGTGGAGCTGGAACTCGGGTGTCTCCTTCAGTTGCATCCTCCTGGGGAACTGGTGCCTGGCCTCCATGCGCTTGGAGAAATCTGCTTCAACGGCAGGATGGTACGGAGAGTCCAGTGCTGTCTCCAGCCCCCCGAGGGTCTCTCGGCCCCATCTCAGACACGGAGAGAACTCCTTCGCCCTCTCGGCGCGCTTCCACAAAGAGGCCTTCTCCCCGGGGCACAGCGCTGAGTCGGGCCCAGGCACGCAGCTCAGGTCCACCCCGTCCCGACAGCTCTTGGAAGGGATCCCCGGCGCCACACTTCCGCTCCTGCGTACGGCCCCGACCACGGCCTCTAGCACCTGGGTTTCTTTGGCTCCTCCCTGAGGTCTCCTCCATCTCGGCGCAGCCTCCCCGTTCTTGGCGTCACTTTCCATGGTTTGTTCCCTGTCATGTGGTGCTGACTGTCCTCCCAGGTGCTCCGTACCCTGTCAGCAAACAAAACTCAGCATGAGAATGGCAGGGAGTGGTGCTGGGCTAGGTTCGGGACTCGGCATGCGGTAGACACCGAAGGTTTCCACAGCTACTAATGACCTAGAAGAGGATGTGTGGGTTTGGGATAGGGGGCTGGCTTATATTCTAGATCCACTCAGGATCCGCAGGGAGCTTCTCCACTCACCTCCAGGAGCACATTGCAGTTTTGATAACTGTCTCCAAAAAACATGGGCTTCATGCTCATTTCTTCCTCCTTTCACCCCTTTGACAATGGCTCTGTGGCTATAAATCCGCCAGCTTTCTAGCAGGGATGGGTCTGATCCCGACCCCCGGATCCAACACCCCCAAAGCTTGGTGAAATTCAGATCCAGAACTGAACTGTGCAGCTCTGGCCCATGTCTGATTTCTAGTGGCTCCTCTGCTCAACCTCCCAACTTCCTCTCTGACTTGCCCCCTCCCAGGGACCCCTCATTTCCATGGGGGGATGGGGAGGAGGGTCCATCTGTCCTCTTCCCTGCCCTGCGTAGGGAATGCATTTGAATTGCTGTGCTACGCCAGGGTGAAATGTTTTGTAACCTCCCCATGCTGAAACTGAAGCTCTCTTGACAGCAGATTGTATAACACGCCGGGCAGCTCTCCATGGAGACATACACACGCACACGGCCCCACCCTACCACCCCAGGGCGTGTGTACACACCACCCTCTGCAGCACAAACACCGTCTGCGCAGCAGCCATACAGCACCAGGGAGTGTCCTCTGCACAGAGCACACAGCGTCCCATGCACTGCCCACACCCTGAGAAGCAAGCAGTGCAGTCCCCTATGGAGCTCATGACCTCGGGGACCATGTACCACCTCACCCATTGCAGATAGCAGGTTCTTTACCTCTGCCCTTTGAGAACCGCGGGATGTGGCCTGAGACTGTAGGACAGCAAACGGGCCTGAGAGGAGCTCTGCTGGGGTCCGTGTGAATGGAGCACCATCCCCATCACTGACAGGTTCCCCATGGGAAGCAGGAGGGGGAGCCATGAGCCACACAGGCAGAAATAAATAGCATGCACTTGTTCCCCCCTCCAGATCTCAGTGCACTTTACTTACACATGCAGCTAAACTACAGCAACATTCAGAGACGGGGAAAGTGAGGCAGAGAGCAGCAGTAGCTTGCACACCACAAATCAGTAGCAAAGTTGGGAGCAGAACCCAGGACTCCTGAGTCACAGGCCCCTGCTCCAAATAGCTCACACTCTCCTCCCTGAGCTGGGAACTGAACCCAGGAATCCTAGCCCTCGCCACCCTGCTCCAACAATGACACCACACCCCCTTGCCCGAGTTGGAAAGAGACGCCAGCAGTCCTGATTCAAAGCACCCTGCTCCCACTACTAGACCCAGCTCCCTCCCTGAGCTGGGAATAAAGCCCATTTCTCCTGACTCACAGTTTCAAGTTCTAACCACAAGACCATGATGCCACCTCTGGGATTCAGCCCAGCAGCTAGGGAGGCAAGTGGGAGGACAAGGAAGGTTAGAGAGGACACAGACGTCTCCCCACGACCCTCCTTAGCCCTTCCACCAGCCCTAGCAACAGGAAGCATGTGGGGAAGAGGAGGTATTGTGTCGAGTTGCAGAGAGCCATACCAGCATTGCAGCGTGACCCGCTGATACCACGTTGCAATACTAATGTAGCATTTATATAGCACTCTGTAGCCATTATCTAATTAATCCTCCCTACATGCCTCCTAGAGAAGACAAACCTCTGCACTTCAATAGCATCTAAAACGGCTTTACAAACATTCATTTACTGCACCCCTGTGAGCTCAGTATCATTACCTGGGGAATGGGGAAACTGGGGCAACGGAGCAATGTGATTTGGTAGAGCTGGGAACAAAACCCATAAATCCTGACTCGTAGCCCCCCTGCTCTAACCACTAGACAACACACTCTCTCAAAGGTGGGAACAGAACCCAGGAGTCCTGGCTCCCAACCCCCTGCTCTTGCTGACCAGCTGATGCTATGTCTCTTACAACGCTTTAAGCCCGTTGTTGCACCTATTAACTGGTGATGCTCCATGCGAGATCGTCCCCGGAGCATGGGCAGAGAAAGAAGGACCAACTGAGCCCAGAAGACTCCCTCCTGGGCTCCCAGAGCTCAGCCCCACAGCATGAACTGCCAGAAAGCTGACATGCATGAATAACCCTAGTCCTGAGAGCATGAGGCGTCAGTCAGCTGGCCAGGAGCCATGGGGCTGGGGAGATTGGAGGAAAGGAGCTGGAGAAAGCATTTTGCTGAAGCAGGAAGTTCTACACACATGATTCACCCAGGCCCCCATTATCCCAGGCCAGCTCTCTGCGCACAGACGCAGCATTGATACCACTGGTTCACTTCTGTAGCATCTCTGGTCCCAAAGGACCCTGCTGGCACCGAGCAGCTCCGCAGCGGCTGGATCCACCCACGCTGGCACGGAGAGAGGCAGATTCCAAGTCCCTGTGCCAGCGAGTCCGCGTGCCCCACCCAGGTATTCACCCCCGGGTAAAGGCTGCTGGTGTTTCCCAGAGGTGGGTGGTTACACTAGGGAAGAGCAGCTCCAGAGTGTGCTGTGAGCGCCAGGGGGGCCCGACCGATAGAAACTCCCCAGGAGATGTACTTCACTGAGGGGCCCTGCCACACACCTCCTCCCTCTCCAGCGCTACCTGTTCTGGGACTGCACCAGCTGCCAGTGGCAGCCTCTGGCAGAGGAGGGGCTGCAGCACCTGGACCTGCCACAACCCCACAGCCCCCAAGCTGCCTCACTCCCCCAGGCCCAGTGCGGACACGGGTGAAGCTTCAGAAACCACGTGATAGAAGCCAGCGAAACAGGGGCGAATGTAACTCCATGTCTGCAGCAGCTAGTGAAATGCAGCCACGACTAGGGTGCAAGGCAGCAGTTGTCTACGCGCTCACATGGGCAGAAGGTGGTCCCCCAAGCTGGGGAACCGAGTGAGAGAGGCTGCACAGCAATACCCACAGGTCCGTCTGTGCCTGTCCCTTCACTCACATTCGGTCCGGGCCATTCTGCCCTGGTGAGATTCCTGCCCTGCCCTGGGATCACAAGGTGATCAAAGTTCTGTTCCAGTCGCTGTTGTCACACGGGGGGGAGGGAGGGTGCCTCTGCCAGGGGAGGAATGTACTGTACATCTCTAACCTGCTCATCTGCAGCGGGCGCTTACACAGCTGGCGCCCAGCCGGCTTGGCACAGACCTGCAGCCTGTGCCCAACCGTCTCTGCACAGTGCCAGAGCCCGGGAGGTGGTTGTCCTGGCATAAGCGTCAGCCAGCCCCATTCAGCAAGGACAGCCCTTAGCATTGCCTCCTATTCTTGCCCTCCACAGAGCCCCCTTGTCCAATGGAGTTAAAAGGAGGTGGTGGTGGGGGGGGGAGGAATCTCACATGAGCCTGTGGGGGCTCTTCTGGGGGAACAAGGCAGGACAAAGCTGGGTTGGATCCCCTGTGCCATGGGTGGAAAGGGTTTGGGGGAGAATGGGTTAGCGGGACCCCTGTGGCTGCCTAGACAGGAGCATACTGCAGCAACGCCAGGGTCTCAGCAGAAGCCAGAGTAGGGAGGGCAGCTCTCCGGACAGAGCTGTTGGGGGTGGGGGACGCTTGCAGAGCTGCCTGGAGTTTGTGAGTAGACCCCTGGCCTTCTCTTGCTTGCCCTACCCAGTATTGTCCCTGCCTGGCTCTTGGTTCAAAACGCCCAGCTGTCCATCCTATCCTGCTTGCTGGGCTCTCTGGTTCCATTCCCATGGGGCTGAGGGTGTCTCTCCTTTCCTTTCCCACTGCTTGCCCAGCGCACTGTGTTTACATGGGCTGTAATCCTGGAGACTGAGCCCCCTGTTTATTGGCAGGACAGGTCTACACCAGGCAGGTGCCAAGCATCCTTCCCCCACCCCTCTAGGGGCAAAAGCGGAGTTTGGTCACCATGGCCCAGTTCAGCCTTGACTCTCGCTCTGCTCAAACTGCCCAATGTTGCCAGCTGCAGGGGTGTCTTTGTATTGGGGGCACTTATCCCCTGGGGAAATCCAGCCAGTTTATTACATAGAAATGCCCAGAGACCTGAGACAGCCTACTGGGAGAGCAGATAGACCACCAAAGAGCCAGCAGATGGTAACAGTTTTCCTCTGGGCTGGATCTGAACCATCAGCCTAAAAGCAAAAGGCTCTTTAGCCCACCCCCAATCCCCCAGCCCACACAGTCCCACCTCCATTATTAACATCTCTAGTAATCACCTGTGGTGGTGCTGGGCTGATCCATTTAGGGAGCTCCATGCATGACCCTTATTCAATTTCCACCTCCATCGTATCCCAGCAGGTGGGATGTGGCACTCCGTAACGAACAGGCTGCGGTTTCAAAGGATCAGGGAGCAGAGTTTGGAGCTCAGTGGCTCCACAATATGGACCTAAGCCAAGGACAGTGTCTTCAAGAGGCAAGACAGATTGAGAGACTCTAGATCCATTGACTAAAGGGATCTGGCTCTGGGATTTGAAGCAGGCAGAAAGCAACCCGAAGGGCTCCTTGGATGTTCTTCTCTGAATTCTGGAGCTGGATTTCTTGATCCATTGGTTTGGGAGTCTCTGTATTGTTCCTTCCAAAAGTCCTTTGATTAAGACTCTCTCCAAGTGTGCTCTGGGGTGGTGAGCTATGGGGAAAGAGCTGTTACAGGGAAAGCTATGAGAAAGCAGAGGAGAAAGAGAGGGGGGACTCCCTCACACCTAAGGGCCATCCAGCCTCAGATATCTTCTGGCAGAGACAGGAGAGGAAGAATTTGGGGAGCTCTGCTCCCCAAACTCCAGCCACCCGCAGAGAAGAAGGGAGACTGCAGTCTCCGAGGGCTCCGTACCAGAAGAGAACTCCTCCAGTTACTCATCCAAAATAATGAGGGGACGCATGAGCAAATTACTCAGAGCTCCTCCCTGCCTCTGTGGGCTTCAGCCAAGGTAGCGTCTGCATTGTGTGCGTCTGGCC